CCCCAAAACCCCAAAACCCCAAAACCCCAAAACCCCTTAGGTAGTTAAAAATATTGAATTATTGATTTCCATACCTTTGATTTTCAGTTAGTGTGCATTTAGTTGGAGTACGTTGGAAAAATGATGATGTCCTTCGTTGATGTTTTTTATCTTTTTTTTTAATGATTTTAATCTTCCTTTTGTAATAAGAATTGCCTATTATTTTCTTCATATCATGACAAGAGTTATTTTTACGAGTCCCATGAACCATTTTATGAATACTTTGAGACTCACCCAGAAACTTTTGTCTAGGCTGCTTTTTCCTTGACCTTACTCTTCTAATCCTCTTAAAGTTAAACGATTGGGTCTGCAGTGCTGTCGGATTACTCACACTAGAGTTTGGACGATGAAGTGGAGGCTTATGAGCAGATTTTGTACTTTTTGTAATATGATCAAAAGCTACTAACGGTTTAACTTTATATTTCAAATCTGGAGGATCTTTGTTCATCAAATGGCTATCGTAGTGGAGCCTTCAAAACTCATTAAAGTTGATTTCCCCATCTTTGTTGACATCCAGGTAATTAAATAGTTTCTTCATGCTTTCTAGCTCTAAGAGTATGCCCATAGTTTCAAGGCCTTCTACAAGCTCTGTAAATCCAATATTGCCGCTGTAGTCATTATCGAATGCCCTAAAAGCATCTTTATAATCCTTAAATTTCTCATCGATCTTGACATGAATTAGCTTCATGAGTGAGACAAGGTGATCGGGGAGGTCTATCTTCTTGAACCCGTACTGATCCTGACTGTTCTTAAAGCTATCAGAATTATTGGAATCACCTTTCTTAAATATTGGAAGTGAGTAAAATATATTCAAGACAATTACAAACTTCTGGTAACTAAGAGTTGTTGGGTTTATTTGGATGTCCTTAATTAGGTTTACGAGGAAGCTTTCTGGGAACACAAAGTTCTTCTCTCGGAGTCTCAGTAAGAAATCTCTGAAGTCTATTTTGTCATTTCCCTCAGAGTTAAGAGATAGTAAGATCCTCTTAAGTTCTTGCATATGAGCTAGCCCTATCTTGTTTCCACGAGTATAATTGAAAATCTTGTCCTTTGATAAGGCATCCCCGTATAGACTCATGCTCTGCATGAAGAAATCGTTAACCCTATTTTTGTACATTAGCAACTGGCTATGAGAATTGTTAGTTCCGATGCTGTGCCATGACTGCTTTGTGTCGTCTTTCCTAACACACTGCTTAAACAGGTCTTGGATATCATCGACTTCTAGATGCTTCGAATGGGACTTTTCTTCTTCAAAATCTTGAAGAGGGGGTTGAGTTACAGACATTTTATTAATCACTAGATTTGTTTGTCAATAATCACCTACTTGATCTATTGAGCGGTTTGTTCAGAGAGTGACAATTTGATCTATACTGCAATAATTAGTTCAGTCTCTACACTTCTAATGCTTTTCTCCTTAATAATTTCTTTTAATCTATTTCTTTGAGTCTTCACTTATCAAATTCATTTTATTATTTGAATTAAACTTGAATCAAAAGGAGGAATGGCTTCTAGCTTGGGTTGCCTCCATCATCTTATTCCTGGTTTTAGTGCTCTAAAAGACATAAATGGATACCAAGACCTACCTCATTATCTGTAAGAGGGACTCGTGATTTATTTACGTCTGTGTGCAATTTTCCTTCTCTTTTTAATTAGACTTTTTAAATATTTTAATACTACCAGGCTTCATCGTCTGGTTCATTGAGAAATGTCATTTCTCAGACTGTGCCTTATGATTATCCCTTTTATTAATAATCCTGAATGCTTTGGAGATGACCTAAATCACAGATAGGGTATTCCAGCATTTAGAAAGTTCTTTGTACTAAGTAGAAGGTCTGATTGGTAAAAATCGAATTCAAAGTAACCTTACAATGTAAAGTTACACCAAACTCTTAAAATTCAGGTCATAATGGATGTAACCATTTGGTTATATGTAGGCATGTTGATGGTTATCTTACTGTCTTCTCAGATTCACTGATGAGGTCCATTTGTGTTTGGAATATAAAAATTATTTCAGTATATTTTCCCAATTCGGGGTTTTGGGGTTTTGGGGTTTTGGGGTTTTGGGG